TTACTCACCAAAACTCCCTATGAGTTATGGAACAATAAAAAACCCAATGTTTCATATTTTAAAGTTTTTGGGTGTAAGTGTTTTATCTTGAATGAAAAAGATGCCTTAGGAAAATTTAATGCTAAATCCGATGAAGGAATTTTTCTTGGTTATTCTTCGATTTCTAAAGGTTTTCGTATCTTCAATAAAAGAACTTTAATAATAGAAGAATCAATTCATGTTATTTTCAATGAGATTTCCAAAATCAAGAAAAATGATTTTGATGATGATGTTAATTTCGATTCTTTGAATTTAAATGAAACCCTTTCCCCAACTAGCAACTTAGATGCATCCACTTCCGAAACATCCTTATCCAAGGATTGAAAGTATGTAGATGCTCATCCTAAGGAGCTAATCCTAGGAGACACATCTAAGGGGGTTCAAACACGTTCTTCTCTTAAAAATTTTTATGCCAATGCCGCTTTTCTCTCCCAAATTGAACCTAAATGTATTGATGAAGCCATGAAAGATGATTCATGGATTATCGCAATACAAGATGAGTTAAATCAATTTAAGAGAAATGAGGTATGTAAGCTTGTTCCTAGGCCAAATGATCATTTAGTTATTGGTACTAAATGAGTCTTTAGGAACAAGCAAGATGAATATGGTATCGTGGTTAGAAACAAGGCTAGATTAGTGGCCAAATGTTTCAACCAAGAAGAAGGTATCGATTACGAAGAAACCTTCGCTCCTATAGCTAGATTAGAAGCCATAAGGATGCTCCTTGCCTATGCTAGTAATAATAATTTTAAGTTGTTTCAAATGGATGTTAAAAGCGTTTTTCTTAATGGCTTTATTTCTGAAGAAGTTTATATTGAACAACCTCCCGGATTTAAAAATAATAGCCTTCTTAATCATGTATTTAAATTAACCAAAGCTCTCTATGGTTTAAAACAAGCCCCAAGGGATTGGTATGATAGAATAAGTACTTTTCTTATTGAAAATAATTTCATAAAACGCAAGGTCGATACTACATTATTTGTCAAGAACTTTGAAAATATTTTTTTCATTGTTCAGATTTGTATTGATGATATTATTTTCGGTTCTACGAATGAATCTCTTTGTGAATCTTTTGCTAAAACCATGAATCTCGAATTTGAAATAAGTTTAATGGGAGAATCAACATTTTTCTTATGCTTACAAATTAAGTAACTAAGCAATGACATCTTTATTAGTCAAATTAAATATACTTTAGATCTGCTGAAAAGATTTAATATGGATAGCTCAAAAGCTATTAACACCCCTATGAGCACCTCCACTAAGTTAGAAGTTGATGAAAGTAGAGAAAGCTTCGATAAAAAAACTTATAGGGGTATGATAGAAAGTTTACTTTACCTCACTGCAACTAGACCAGATATCATGTTCAGTGTAGGAGTTTGTGCTAGGTTTCAATCGAACCCTAAGAAATCTCATCTCAAAGCAGTTAAAAGAATACTTAGATATCTTAAAGGTACCACAAATCTAGGATTATGGTATCCAAAATCTGAGAATTTTAAGTTAATTGCTTATGCTAATGCAGATTTTGCTGGGTGTAGACTAGATAGAAAAAGCACATTAGGAACATGTCAATTTTTGGGACATTCCCTTGTTTCCTGGTCATCTAAGAAACAAAACTCGGTTCTACTATCAACAACCGAACCTAAGTATATTGCAGCTAGTGCATGCTGTGCACAAGTTGTGTGGATGAAAAATACCTTAGAAGATTATAAAGTCCATCTTAAAAACATTCCCATTAAATGTGATAACACAAGTGTAATATGTTTAACAAAGAATCTCATTCAACACTCAAGAACAAAATATATTGATATTAGACATCACTTTATACGAGATCATATTACTAATCATGATGTAATCATAGAGTTTATAGATACTAAGCATCAACTAGCTGATATTTTTATAAAACCTCTAAGTGAAGAACAATTTGATTTCATAAGAAGAGAATTAGGAATGTTGATGTGTCCGAATGCATAAACTTGTTAAGATTATTTTTTGGACTTTTATTTAATGATCAAATCACTTAATTGCTATGATGATTTTACACAATTACATGCCTTAATTATATGTTGGAAATTATGTGTTTTGGATACAAAAATTTCCATGATAATAAGCATGTTTTATCTTCATGATTGAATTTGAAAATCTATAGCAAAACCTCGTCTATGGAAGTGTTAATTTTATTTTCAGATTCTCTTAACTAGTGATGTCCTAACAATCGGATTTTCTCGGTACATTATTCTCTTCCGAACTTAATAAGCATATGTCATATCGAGTTTGATTCTCATCATTAATTTTTGACATATGAAATCAACTAGCAAATACATCTCTCATACACTTCTCATGTGAAAAATATTTTTTTTGAAATGGATTTGATAAAATGATTCCTATTTGTAAATTCTTTCTTAAAATATGGATGTTAGTGTTTTTACTTGCAAGGATTTGTTTCACATACATATCTTGATCCTTGTAAAAATGAAGTATAATTTAATCTGTCATCGATTTTAACTTTATTCAAAGTAAACTCACAAATAGCTGGTATCACAAATAGCCTTCCTCCTTCGTGTAAAAAGATAATAACAAATAAAAAGGATGAAGTATTCAAAGCTATCTCCATGTCATGTTTTCCTTGAGATGTTTGCATAATTTGTATCCTATCACTCACTGTTGGAAAATGACATGAACCTAGTTATGGCATGAATAATTACCGCACTTATGCTTAAAATTTGCTTATATCGTTCTCCTTTTTGTTGATGACAAAGGGGGAGAGATATATGAATTGATGCTATGAGTATTGATGCTATGATTATGCCATGCTTGCATCATCAAAAATATATGAATTGATGATAACTATGATTGCCATATTTGCATTATGCCATGTTTGCATCATGTTAAGATATCAAGAACTTGCATCGTAATTTTACGTGTTGATATCTTACCATGCGATGAAATGCTATGATTGCTAAAACACTTGAAATGTGTGCATCATGTTAAGATATTAAAATCTTACTTCAAAATTTTACATGTTGATATCTTACCATATGATGAATTGCTACCATTACCATCATTTACATTTGAAATTTGAAAATGGATGTCAAGCCTTGACATCATTTTCAGAGAGATACATCATGATAGGAATCATGATGAGAGTATTGATAAGGTTAAATGATTTTAACTTATCAATATGTCTCTTGAATTCAAAGGCTTTGAATTCAAGAATGACTTATCTCAAGTATAGCATATAGATAGGGAGAGTTAAGATTAACTCCGTTATCAATTGATTGTCATCATAAAAAAGGGGGAGATTATTGAATCTCGGATTTTGATGATGAAGTCAATTATCATTTGTTATCTAATCCATATGTTGAGATAAGTGTGTAGGATTAACTATGATGGAAGAAAGACATGCAGCAGGAGTTGCGCCGGAGTCAAGACTATGATCACATTGGGAGTTCGAGAGTTCGACGGAAGTCCGGACGGTCGTCGGAGGTTCTACGGGAACAAATTCGAGAAGTCCAGAAGCTTGCCAAAGAAGCTCATCGGAACTCGCCAAGTGGATCATCACAAGTCCAGGAGTTTGCCGGAAGTCCGTCGAAGCATCGTCGAAGGTTCATCGGATGTTCACCGGAAGTTTGCCGGAAGCTCGCTGAAAGAAGCGATTGACGCACCGGAGTAAGTTGTAGTAAATGTCTTAAGAAATATCGTAGTTAGCATGTAGATTAAGTTAGGAATGGGAGGTAATCCCATTAACTTAATCTGGGGGCAATTGGGCCCTTGACAGACCCAAATTGGGCAGAATGGATCAGCCCATTCGGACCCAGATCTCTTGGCCAGCGATGGCACCGCTCAGGGCTAAGTCTTCGAGCTAGGCTGGGTGGTGGAACCGCCCCTGACAAGTAGTGGAACCCCCTGAGCTCGGTCTCCGAGCTCTGCCAAGCGGTGCAACTGCCCCAGTCAGGCGGTGGCACCGCCTGGGCTTAGTCTTTGAGCGAGACTAGGCGGTGCAACTGCCCCTGTCAAGCTGTGGCATCGCTAGAGCTCGGTCTCCGAGCTCTGTCAGGTGGTTGTACCGCCCCAGTCAGAGGTGGTACCGCTAGGACCTCGAAAATCCAAGGAAAGATATTTTTGAGCTCCAAATTCAAACTAGTATGGGGCCTATATATACCCCACCCTTTCCTGCATGAAAGGACACCGAAAGCTTGATCTTACTTTGTGATTTTAGAGCTCAAAAGTGTTGTAAAGTCTATAAGTTCTCCTCCCTCTTTTCTTCCAAGTTTTGATCTTTCAAGAGAGGAGAGAAAAGTTTGTAAGGGTTATCTCCTAAGCCCGTCAAAAGGAGCGAAACTGTAAAAGGGTGGTTGGCCTTCGCCTATTGAAGGAAGGCCTCTAGTGGACGTCGGTGACCTCGTTGGTGGAGGAAGCCAAAAGTGGATGTAGGTCAAGATTGACTGAACCACTCTAAATCTCGGTTTGCATTTACTTTGAGCATCTTATCTTTATTGCAAACCTCCTCAGTAGCTTATTGCCTTTTGCTCATTTACGAACGTGTTTCATAGTTAAGTATTTTCTAAATCGACGTTAAGACGGAAATCAGTTTTATCGTACGAACATCATATTTCAATTTGCGCTTACATTCTGATTTCTATCTTAATTGCAAACTGCTTTCCTTACTTTACTTCAAATACGTTTCCGTAAGCTTTCAAAGTTATTCTATGCACGAAACGACTTTTACGTCGAAATCGGATTTCAACGTACGAACGCAGTTTTAAACGTCGAAAGTTTTTCGCTGCACTAATTCACCCCCCCTCTTGGTGCTCTTGATCCTAACAGATTACCGAGAATTAATAATAAATACGGTATATTTTAGGGGCTGAATATAAAAATGAAATTAAACAAAACATGTCAATGGTACGAAGTTTTTTACGGGTTAATAACAACAATAGAATACATATTAGGGGCAGGGCAACTGCAACCTTAAAAACAGGGCAAGTCGGCAGAAGTTTCTGTTTGTTGTCGCACTGGTGGAAAATGGAGGCGGAGAAGGAGAAGCCGGAAATCGTGTGGAAGGCGGAGAAGCTGGTGGCTGCGACCATGGGAGAGCGCGACGCGTCCCACGACGCCGCCCACGCATTTAGGGTGCGCGGCCTCGCCCTCTCCCTCGCCAAAGAAGAGGCCTTGTCTGGCCCCTCCTTAGAAATAGTAAGAATCTATCTTCCCATTCTCTTCTCCTGTTTCTTCTTGTCCTTCAGCAATTTCATCCCGTCAAGAAACGATACGATGATGGAGCATTAAGCACAAAGCTTGTTTCCAATCTGTTTGTGCTGGTCGTTCGAAAGTTTCATTTTTATGATGGTTCGAAGAATGTTCTTATTATGGCCCGAAAGTTAGCCTTTTTATTTCACTGAGTTGTTCCCTCATCCAATTGTTGTTCTTGTTGATTTGACACATAGGGTTTCGTGAGATACGAAATATTTCACAATTTGATTTTTCCTAGTGTTTCTTCTGTGCAGTCGTCCTGCATTGGAATATCAGTTAAAGTTTGATTACTATCAGGAGGTAGGCTTTATTTTTGTGCATTCAGGACTTGAGGATGATCGAGTAACGCCACAAAATTACCGGTTGATTACTTTTGAGGGTAAACCTCTTATGGGTTGCGACGCAAATGAACGATGCATCGCTTCCTTTGATGTTGGAGTGCCTGGCTCATCTTGCTGTTGAACTTGTTATGTCCGACCAATTAGAAACTGTACCATATTGGAAGAGAAGCAGGAAATTGATTCCATTTAGGATTGTGCTGTTGGTTCCAAATTAAAAAGAACTCCAAATTGTTTCTTTCATGTCTCTGCACTTACTTGGTCCCTTATCTTTTTCCTGTATGTGCTACCACATATGCACAATAGATGCAGAAATTAACATGGAGGTGCATTGTTGTGCAAATTTGGAGCATAGAGAATGTTGCTGTTTTTCTTGAATCTTGATCCTAAATCTCTAAAGCTATGATCTTTTGGCTTTTGATTAGGTGGAACTTGCTGCTCTTCTTCATGACATAGGTAATGGTTGTTTTTTTCTTACTGATTTTGGAGAATATTGTCTTTTATCATTTAATTAAATTTGATATTCATGTGAGTACACTTTCTACTGCAGGAGATTACAAGTACGCCAAGTGGGTATTGCTACTTTTGCCACATGTCTAAATAGTTCACAATAATAGTCAGATTTGTAATTTTGGAGTTCTGTTTATCTTGGTATGCTTGAACTTGATTTCACCTTTGTTAGTCAGTGAGATGATGAGTTTCCTAATCTTGTAAATTCTTTTTGCAAATTTTTAATTTTCTCTGTTTTTGGTGTCAAGTTTTGTACTTCAAGTTCAAATATTGCAGGGATTTGACTGAGGATACCACCACTGTAGAGAAGTTTCTTGAGGAAGAGGGACTAGAAGAAAGAAAAAGAGAAAAGATTCTTGCTATCATTAGGCACATGGGTGAGCTTTCTTGAATGTGAATATATGTTGTATTTCGACATTCTTTTCCCCATTTAACTCTTCTCAATACAAGCTTATATCATATTGGCTGTGTACATTCAGCACAGAACATGCTATGCAACTAATGTTTTGTATTTGATAGTCTCTCCATAATGTCTTCAAATTGCTTGGTTGATTGGAATTGGGCATCAACATGAACTGATGACATGGCATCCTAAATACATGTAACACATTTTGTATTTGCACTATCCTAATAGAAAAAGTATGTTGTTCATCAATGCATACAGGAGCAACATTCTCGAAGATAAACTTTTTGTTGGAAAAATGCAGGTCTAGTTTGATCTTGTTTTGTCAGATTGTTGTATATTGCTAGATAATCCCATAGATAAGATTTCTCCACTGAGATATTAGAAGCTAGATATTCAATTGCCATTTGGTGGAAATAGTAATGAACATCTATGTGCTTTGAGCAGAAAAAGAGGTTTGAAATGTGGAAAAGATATTCACATTGTCTTGAAGGTAAATTATCTGAAAGGGCCTCTTCCATCTTTGATTAGAAGAAAGAAAGGATCAATCTTGTAGTATCCATTATGCTCGTTGCTACTCTATCGATTAACGAACTTTATAACTTCAGATTGCAACTTATTTTAACATGAGTTGAGAAAACTGCTACTCAAACAAAGGCATGAAGTTACCTACTGAAAACAAAAGATGAAAAGGGGAAAATTTGTAAAAAAGGCAAAGAACTCTACTAAAAGAGAAATTGGAAAATGAAAAGAAAATGGGAGAAATGTAAAATATTGAATATTATCTCTATGATGGACAGAAGCCAATATGAAAGTAGCAATTGTTATATAAGGTTATAATGCATGAACTTCTTTAGAATGTGGTCCATTGGAAGCATGGATTAAAAACAGTTATGGCTTGTGGATCGCTCGATATGATTACAATATTGATTGGAATCCAACACAATTTCTTAACACACTATCATAGATTGTTGGCAGTGAAGGTGTTCGATGTAATATCCATGCTTTTTAGTTTGTTTAACAGTTTGCAGTAGGCTTGATAGCCCCATTTGGTTGGGTTATAGCCATTTTTTGCTTGTAATAGCAACTCGCATGTGGTCTACCCAAAAATGAAGCCTCTATCTAACCTGCAACATCTAGATATTTCCTAGAGTAGAGATATGACCAAAACGTCAGCTATGTTAGCACCCTAGAACCCCTAGGTGGCATAGGGCTGGATGTGGTTCCGGGGTAGTATTACATTAATACCATAATTTTAATTAAGAGCAATTTTGTACTTGAGCATAATGAGAGGAACCTAGAGTTAGTTAGCCCCCTCCCTTTATACTTACAGCCAATATCTCCTTCTCCCTTATTGTGATAGAGAGTGTGACTATCAAGGAAGACGAGGATAACGTTAGGGCATCAACCACAAGAGGATCCGAATCTTTGACTTTTCCTAGTCTTATGTAGATGTCGATATGTTCCTTTGCTTTTCTTTCTTGCATCTAAAATTATTGTGCTTTCCTATCGTCTAGATTCTATTCTTGTTCAACGATCTCGATGAATTTAGATTAAATAATATGTTGAAATTTGTTGGGGAAGAAAAGAGAATACGTAATTGTATTGAAGAGAAAATTGCAATATATATTGAAAGTTTTGGATATAGTTCTCTCTTTCGCAAAGAGAGTTTTCTATAGAAAATTCTAGATCTAAACTTAGGTTTATAGTTTTGTCCACTAATATTCAGTTTTAGGCACAATGACCTATCAAAATTACACATAAACTGCATTATAAAGTTAAAATTACTCCTCAACACCCCTGCTTAATTTATAATTTTGAGATGCCTCTTGAACTTCTCAAATTCTCTAATGTGACTATGAGGAAATCTAAAGGTTGATCAGTTGTACTGATGAACTTCAAATATATCTCATCTTTGTTCACCAAGCCTCTAATGAAGTGGTGACAAAGTTCAATGTGTTTTGACCTTGTACAAAAAATAGGATTTTTTGTCATTGCATTTGAAGACATATTGTCACAATCAATGGTTATTGGTTGTACTTGTAGTTGATGCAAATATGAGAGTATTCTTCTCAACCAAATAGCTTCATATTGTGTATTCGTAGCAGCAATATATTCAGCTTCAACAGAGGACAATGATATTAACTTTTGCTTCTTTAAGCTCCATGATATCACCTTTGTACCTAAGCTGGAAAGATAACTATAATACATTTTTTAGTCTTCTATAGAATTAGCCCATTCACTATCTGTATAGCCAATCAACTTGTTATCTTTTTCTTTCTTATATTTGATGCCTTGCCTTGCATCTTGCTTTCTTGAAGATATGTTAATATTCTTTTAGCTACTGCATAATGTATTTTGCTATAATCATTCGTGAGCCTTGGAAACCATACTCGCAACATGTAAAATATCAGGTCTTTTTAAAGAGTGTTGTATCAACCATTTCAATTTCATCAAAATGATGTAGCTTTTCATTTAAAGTCATGGGAGTCAAAGTTGGTTTATGTATCGCCCGGGCCGGTATTAAACAGGTGGTATGTACCGGTCTGAGTGCCAATCGGTACGTAGGTTGCCCCCGGTCTAGTTCGCCATATAAAAGGGGAACCCTAAATCCTTAATAATTTTCATGTTGCCTCCGCTTCTCATGAAGTTGTGGTTGATGCCTTCGCTTCTCATGAAGTTGTGGTTGATGCCTTCGCTTCTCTCTGCGACTTCTCATCGTGATTGATGCCTTCACTTCTCACGCAGGCCGCTATCGACAACTTTTGCTTACCACCACCTTGCTGCACGCCACTATGCACGATCTTTTCCCCAATTACTTCTCAAGTATGCTTGGTGAACAAAGATGAGATATGTTTGAATTTCATTAATACAAGTGATCAACCAACATATTTCCTCACCAAAGCAGTCACATTAGAGAAATTTGAGAAGTTCAAGAAACATATTAAAGTTACAAACAAAAAAAGGGTTTTGAGGAGTAAATTATAATTTCATAATGTAGGTTGTATGCAATTTTGATAGACAATTGTTCCTAAAACTGAATATTAGTAGGCAAAACTACCTAGATTAGAAGCCTAAGTTTACATCTAAAATTTTTTAAAAGAGAGAACTCTATCAAAACTCTTAATCTATGTTGCACTCTCTCTCCAATGCAATGAAGTATTCTCATCTTTTATGTATCTAAAAGGATTAGATACATGAAGGAATCTTTTTAATGCACATGAAACTTACAAACATGCAACCCTTGTTATTTTAGTCACATTAGCACTAAAACATAACATAAAGCAGTGGCAAGAAGATTTCTAAATTCTAATATAATTAATGAAAAGTTTTTTTTGGTGAAGGTTGTTGTGGTACTTGATTAATAACAATAATTTTTTTTGTTTTTATAATTTGCAAAACAACTAAAACTAGCTTATGTAAGGAGGTAGTAGAGGACAGTGATTTAAAAAGGTGCTCGGGCGCTCGCCTAGGGGCTCGGGCGAGGCGAGGCGAGACCCGAGCGCCTCGCTTCATTTCCAGACGGGGGGCTTCAAAGAGGCGTCGCCTGGGTGCTCGCCTAAGCCCAGGCGCTGGGCACTTCGGGCAAGCGCTTGGGCTAAACCAGGCGACCGAACCAGCGTTTGAGGTCTGGTTCGGTCTCCGGTGCTTTAGTTGGTTCAATCGAACCAACTAAAGCACCGATATCAGTGTGACTTCCCCAACCCTAACCCTGCTCGCCGTTCATGCTACTGTCGCCGTTGCTCGTTGCCGCTGCTGCTGTCGCCGCTCGCCGCTGCCGCTGCTGCTCCTACTGTCGTCGCTCGCCGCTCTCGCTGCCACTGCTCGCTGCTACCGCTGCCGCTCCCACTATCGCCTCTCCCGCTCCCGCTGCCGCTGCTACCGTTGCCACTGTCTCTGCTCGCTGCTCCCGCTCCCGCTGCTGCTGCCACTGTCGCTGCTCGTTACTATCGTTGCCACTGTCTCCGCTCGTTGCTTCCACTCCCGCTCCCGCCGCTCGTTGCTGCCGGTGCCATTGTCGTCGCTTGCCACTCCCGCTGTCGCTGCTGCTGCTCACTGCTGCCGCTGCCATTGTCGTCGCTCGCAGCTGCCGTTCCCGCTCTTCTCAGTCAACACCCTCAGTCTTCCGACTCTTCCCTTACACTCTTCTCCTCTTTCGATAGTATATTGTTAACAGTATATAGTATACAGTTAACTGTATACTAGTAATAGTATTTGTATTTATTAAACTAATTTAATAGCATATTTTTATTTAAAAATTTAAATAATTATATTTATTAATTATATTATATATTTTTATATTTTAGCGCCTCACTTCGCTCGGGCGAGCGCTTGGGCAAGTGCCTAGCGCCTCAGGCGTTTTTGGACCTTGGCGCCTAGTGTTTTTTAAATCACTAGTAGAGGATAACTTTGACAAAAAAAGAAGGGAATAAAATATTTATTTTTTACCAAAAAATAGAAGATACAAGATAAATTCCTTGAAGATCAACTTCTTTCTAATGCAACCTTGCAATCACGGGGCAAATTAGAATGCTTTATACTTAGATTAGGTTATAGATTTCTTAAAAAAGAAAGAGGGACTGAGCGCGTGGTTCGTGTTGGATTCGCTCATGTCTCCACCTACTAACCTACAAATACAATTAACCACAATATAGAAAGATCCCTTCATGCTTGCCATAGTTTATGTTATAACTTTTTCTCTAAAGCTTGCCATATTATAGTTAGTTGAGAGGATTAATAACTACTACTAAAATTGCATCCACAGACTAAACATAAAAGAATGGAAAAATTATTTTACCTTTCATACTTAGCTTGTAAAATAAATAAGAGACTTATACTTCCAAATTTACTTGTTCTATCTGAACACCTTGTATGTTATAGTAACCATTGGCTTTCATGCCAAGGCAGTGATAATATATGATTCCTCCAACGTTAGCCGAGCTTGAGTCTTAATTACAATGTAAGTAAAAGTAA